AGTAGGTAGTGGACCCTTGAAGTCGATACTAAGTCGCTCCATAAGCTGTGTGACTTTGATGAGGTTTCCGGGTTGCTGCGGACGATAAAACTGAGGCTTCAATTCGGCGCAACTTCGGCATGCTGAACACACTTTCTTAACTTCTTCAGTGGAGTATGGAAGGTTCTTGGACTTTACGAAGTGTAACATTCGAGTTACACCGGGATGACACGACCCAATACGGATTTCTTCGAGGTTGTTTGATGATATCGAGGCAGAGAATGCGCGTGTGAATGAATCAGGAGTAACATTATCCTTTCCAGGCCGATATTCCACTGTATAGCTGAAGGAACCAAGCTCGAGTCGCCAAGCCTGGATCTTATTGTTCTTTATCTTGGTTCCTTTTCTGCTGTCGAACATGAACGCTAACGAACGTTGATCCGTTTTCAGAGTAAAATGACGACGAGCAAGAAAATGCTGCCACTTGCGAACCGCCTCTACGATAGCCATTGCCTCCTTCTCTACTGCAGGATAGTGTAATTCACTGCCATGGAGCATCCTCGTCATGAATGCAACTGGTCGGCCAGCCTGATTTAACGTAGCAGAGAGCGCCACTTCCGAGGCATCGCACTCGACCACAAACGGAAGGCTCTCATCTACGTGTTGAAGAGCTGCGTTCCCAAATTCTTTCTTGAGAGTATTGAATGCAGCTAGAGCGTCCGAATCCAGTGGGAATGTTACAGCCTTCATCAAAGGTTTGATCTTGTCAGAAAAATGGGGTATCCATTTTGCATAATAGGCGAACATACCAACTACTCTCTGAAGGGTTCGGGCACTCTCTGGTGGTGGAAACTCTTGGAGGGGGCGTAGCCTTTCTGGATCGGGAGTAATTACACCATGTCCAATACCATATCCACGTAAATTGATTGATGACTTGGATTCAACAGATTTCGTTTCATTGAGGGTAAGATTCCTTCGACGGATAGCTTCGTGAAACGTCTGGACATTTTCATCATGCTCTTCTTGGTCTCGCCCCGCTACTGTTATATTATCCAAATATGGAAAGGTATCTTTGAGTCCCTCCTCATCGACAAACTTATCCATTGCCCTTTGAAAAACTGCTACCCCATTTGTAACCCCAAAAGGCACGCGTCGGAAGTGGTCGAGTCTTCCATTGGCTTCGAAGGCAGTATACTTCTGATCAGCTTCCTTTATTGGCACTTGATGATAGGCACTTTTAAGATTAAAAGTTGAGAAAAACTTGTAGCTAGCAAGATTGTTAATCATATCATCAATCCGTGGTAGAGGATAGGCGTCAAGCTCGGTATACTGGTTAACGGTCTGCGAGTAGTCTATGCAGAGCCGCTTCTTGTGTCTATTCAACAGATCTTTAACAACAACAACCTGTGCTCTCCAAGGTGAATTGCTGGGTTCAATGATTCCTTCCGAGAGAAGCTGATTAACCTCCTGTTGTATAAAATCGTGATCTTCCTTACTAAAGCGTCTCGATTTACTTGCAATTGGTTTGCAATCTGGACGAAGATTCGCGAAAAGAGACGGCTCTTCAACTGATGCAGCAGAGAGAGCACAAACAGGGGTAGACTTTGGAATCATCAGCTCTGGTTTAGAACCACCATATTCGATAATAACACTCTTGTGCTCTTTTTGGAAATCCTGACCTAGGATTATATCGCTACAAAGTACTTTAAGTATTCCCAGACGACAGGATGGATACACATGTTCATTCAGAGCAATATCTACATAGCAGTGACCAACAACATGTGACTTGAGGGAACTCAGGGCCAATAGATACATCTTGTGTTAATGGATGAAAATGAAGATCAAGGTGTTTGGCCACGCTCTCACTTATATAGCTGTCAGAACTTCCAGAATCAACAAGTGCAGTCAACGGTTTGTTTCCAACAGAGACCATTACAGATGCTTGCTTCAAAGACTCTGGACAGGAAGCCACGATTGCACAAAGTGAGGGCGAAAATATTGAAGCAACCGTAGGGGCCTTTGACCTGCAAACGTTTGCATAATGTCCCCTTTTGCCACAGCTATCACACACACAATTTCGGGCAGGGCAATTTCTTCTATTATGGATAGAATTACCACAGAAATAGCATTTCTTTGATGTAAATGTTCCGGCAAGAGGGGCATCGTCATCAGAGGCAGCAGCTTTCGAGGTCTGTTCTGTTACTGAAACAGCTGCCGCTGTAGCTGTGGGAATGGTGGGTATAGTATACGTTTCTGCGTTCTTCTGTGCTAAATCTAAAGCATTAGCTTGGTCAAAAGCAGATTTCAAATCTAATGTACTGTTCTCTAGAAGACGTTGACGAATTAATGGGGAAAGTAGACCATTAATAAAAGAGTCTCGAATTAGTTCCTCCCGATACTGTTCAGCAGTAACACTTTTTAGATTACAATCCTTACTTAGGCCCCGATTACACTATACCGGATTGCATCGAAGCGACGCGATTTCTGTACCGGATTGGCCTCTTGTTTACACTACGCCACTGTAATCCGGTACGTGCCGCGGCGCGAAAATCACTTCGCTTTGGAGGTGATATGAAAAGTAATCTGATACGTGCTGTACCGGATAAAACCAAGTGTAATCAGGCAATCCGGTACGCTCCGGTACTATAAATAGGTTTCGGCAAGTATATTTTAACACTGTCGTTTTATTTACTCGCTTTTAAATATTTTATAGCTGTTGTTTGCTTCGCTTTACAATTATTTATTATTTCTAGCGAAGACAAATAAAGATAGCGGGAATAACATTGACTTCTTGCTTTCAAAAGGGCAAAATTTAATGAAATACTCGTCAATTTTCGATAAGAGCGAGACAAAGCAACGTCGGGTGGTCAAGCTTTGTAAACAAAGTTAGAATTCACAAGTACTGTCGAGAAAACGTCCAAAATGGGCAAAACTTATTATTTGTTTCCGTGGCAACGATAAAAGATACGAGCTGGCAACAGAGCGAAGCGGCATAGTGTAAACACCCTTGATTTTGGCTTCGGTGTGAAAATTGATCCGGTATGAAAATCAATCCGGTAGTGTAATCCCAGCCTTAGTCTCCGAAGTTCCTGAATAAATTCTACGAGTGTTTCACCTGGCTTTTGCCGTCTAGTAGCGAGTAAATCCTGATCTTGAGCAAATATTTCATTCGTCTTTTTAATAAACAACTGATTTAATACTTCGAGCGCTGAATTATAATCAGTACAGTCTTCAATATATTCATACACGTTAGGTGATACGATACTTATCTGGAGCTTTTGAACCACACTCTGTGATAAAGTTAGTAAAGGTCTTATGCCAATGTTTCCATTTTTTAGCTGCAGATGGTGAATTAGGATCCAAATCAAGACGAGCAGGTTTCAGTATAGTATCCATATTGAAGACAGTTATATTAAATTGAAGACAGTTATATTAAGTTGAATAAATTGTCGAAACCATAATTGTAAAGCAAAGTAAAATCAGGCTTTATTCAACTTAAAACCTTGCTATAAACTCTAATGTACAAATCTAACAAAATGGTGGTCAATCACCGCCCTATATAATCATAACTATTGCGGGCTCATAAATAATAGCCAGCTACTTGATATAACTAATATCGTTATTATCTCAACCATATAACTAATATCGTTATTATCTCAACCATTTTATTTTTAATGATATGAAAGCAGTGATGTGCTGCCATCCAAAAATTTGCACTTTCAATATAATTATATTTGGCAAATCATCTGCCACTGTTTTAAAATATATACTGTGCTTACTTATTTGACAATTTTCATTCTCATGTTACAGTCGTGCCAATAGAAGTGTTCCGAAAAATGTTGACCAGTTCATTTCCTAACTTGAAGGAACACCTCTGAACAATTCCTTAAAATTTTGAAAATTTCTTTAAAAAGTTTCTAACTTCCTGTTTCATTGACGAATCAAGTTTTATATTTTATTTTTGAGCAATCTGATTGGTCAATGAAACAGGAAGTTAGGGACATTTTAAAGAACTTATCAAATTGTTGAAGAATTGTTCAGAGGAACTCCTCGAAGTTAGGAAATGAACTGGTCAACATTTTTCGGAACGCTTCTATTGGCATGACTGTAAACTGTAAACAACAGTAATAACTTGTTTGAGAACAGGGCTTCAATAGAAGGAACTGTCTAAGTTAGTAACTTAGTTATGAAAAGTCTAGGAAATTAACTTCTCAAATAATCACAGTAGATATTTTATATTGCTCCTTCAAGATAAATTTACTGACATATTATGATGTCAGATGACTGAGGAAAAAAAGTTTAAAAACTTATTAATGAATGTTTTAATTAATGTCACTTACAAGAAGGAAGAATAAATGAAAAGTAAAATTATGTTAGTTCTGGAAGCATATTGTTCTCCCACAAAGAAATTTCCTTATAGATACGCTCAACATGCATATCAACATTGGTGTAGACCACAAAGTCAATCCAGGGTAAATTTAAAATGTTCAAGACACCTTGACATTGATAATAATATGTATGGTTCACTTTAAGTTTTAAACCACTTTCAGTTTGTTTTAAATAAAAACTTTGACAGATTGTGCAGCTTCATTAACATTCATTTCTTTCACTGAGTAAGGACACTTAACTTCAATGCATCCGACTGGAATACCATCCTTTATGACAATTCCATCAGGGCTACAACCAAGCCATGACTTGGGACTGATGACTAGTCCACAACATGTTACATAAGTATTGTCTTTTATTATATAATAACCTTAAGAATTCATACGATTTCATTGGTCGAGAGCCATGATCTATTAGAGGACAGACGCACGGAATTACGTCATAAGTTTTTAAAATGTCGAAAATACTTGAAAATTCCACTGAATTTATACAAATTGAATGAATTCATGCAATTAAATCTGTACACATCAATAAATACCTTCGATAAATGTGCAAAAATCACTCACAACAGCTAGCAACTCGGCAAATCTCAATTCAGTCATTCAGATGCGACTTTAAAATCCAATCCGGTTTTCGAAAACAAACACTATTTCGGTCATTTGACCCTGTCGATGTCTCATTTCCCAACTGGTTTCTTCACTTCGTGCAACATAGGTAATGTTTAAGTGCTTTTCAATTGCCATAACAGGGCCCGCGGAGCGTATTAGAGAGTGGGGGGGGGGGG